CATACTTCTGCATGTGGAGATCCAGTTTTCCCAGCATCATTTATTGAAGAGACTGTCCTTGCTCCAAGGATGGATTTCAGTTCCTTTGTCAAAGATAAGTTGGTTGTAGATGTGTGGGTTGATTTTGGCATTTTTATTCTGTTCCATTGGTCTGCCCATCTGTTTTTGTACCAGTACCAAGATGTTTAGATTATTATTGCCCTGTAGTGTGACTTGAAATCTGATGTTGTGATGCCTCTGGATTTGTTGTGCTTGGTGTTGTTGTTGCTTATCTATTCAGGGGTCTCCTATGTTTCCATATGAATTTCAGCATCATTTTTTCTTTTTTTTTAAACTTTTATTTAATAAAATTTTGAAAGTACAACTTTTGTATTATACTGGCTTTTCCGCCATAATCTCCCTCCCACCCGCAACCATCCCATCTCCCACTCCCTCTCCCATCTCATTCTTCATCAAGATTCATTTTCAATTATCTTTATATACAGAATATCAACCTAGTATATACTAAATAAAGATTTCAACAGTTTGCACCAACACAGATACACAAAGTATAAAGTACTGTTTGAGTAGTAGTTTTACCGTTAATACATAATACAACACATTAAGGACAGAGATCCTACATGGGGAGTAAGTACACAGTGACTCCCATTGTTGATTTAACAGTTGACCCTCTTATTTATGATGTCAGTAATCACCCATGGCTCTTGAGCTGCCAAGGCTATGGAAACCTCTTGAGTTCACAAACTCCGACCTTATTTAGACAAGGCCATAATCAAAGTGGAAGTTCTTTCCTCCCTTCACAGAAAGGTACCTCCTTCTTTGATGGCCCATTCTTTCTGCTGGGATCTCACTCACAGAGATCTTTCATTCAGGTTTTTTTTTTTTTTTTTTTTTTTTTTTTTTTTCCCAGAGTGTCTTGGCTTTCCATGCCTGAGAAACTCTCATGGCCAGATCTGAATGCCTTAAGGGCTGCTTCGGAGGCCCAAGTGCTGTTTAAGACCCCTGCCATTCCATGAGTCTGCTGTGTACCCCACTTTCCATGTTGGATCATTCCCTCCTTTTAATTCTCTCAGTTAGTATTAGCAGACACTAGTATTATTTATGTGATACCTTTGACACTTAATTCTATCTTTATGATCAATTACAAACTTAAGCTGATCACTTGACTAGTAAGATGGCATTGGTACGTGCCACCTTAATGGGGTAGATTTGGAATCCCCTGGCATGTTTCTAGCTCTACCATTAGGGGTAAGTCAGATTGAGCATGTGCCGAACTGTACATCTCCTCCCTCTCTTATTCCCATTTTATATTTAATATGGATCACTTTTCAGTTAATTTTAAATGCCTAAGAATAATTGTGTGTTAATTAAAGAGTTCGACCAGTGGTATTAAATAGAACAAAAAATACTAAAAGGAATAAAATATTAAGTTGTTCCTCGACAGTCATGACAAGGACTGATCAAGTCATTGTTTCTCATAGTGTCCATTTCACTTCTACAGGTTTCCTTTTGGGTGCTCAGTTAGTTGTCACTGATCAGGGAGAACATATGATATTTGTCCCTTTGGGACTGGCTTATTTCACTCAGCATGATGTTTTCTGGATTCCTCCATTTTTGTTGCAGATGAACAGATTTCATTTTTTTTACTGCTGTATAGTAATCTATAGAGTACATAACCCATAATTTCTTTATCCAGCCTTCTGTTGATGGGCATTTAGGTTGATTTCATGTCTTAGCTATTGTATATTGAGCTGCAATAAACATTGAGGTGCAGACATCTCTTTTATTTGCCAATTTAATTTCCTTTGGGTAAATTCCAAGGAGTGGGATGGCTGGGTCATGTGGTAGGGCTATATTCAGGTTTCTGAGGATCTCCAAACTGTCTTCCATAGGCATCATTTTTTCTAGATCTGAGAAGACTATCATTGATGTTTTGATTGGGATCACATTGAATCTGTAGATTATTTTTGGTAGCTAAGATATGGAATTAATCCAGATGTCCTTTAGTGACATATGATGAGTAAATATCACTGCATTACCTATAACTTTAAATTGGTAAATTATAGCTAAAGCTTAAATCTGTATGTCTCAAATGTGAACCACAGTGGTTTAATGCTGCTTTGTATATACTGTAAGTGCTACAAATAGTCTCAGCACTGAACATGTATTGATATCTCTCAAATGAACGCAAGCTTTTATGTAGGTGTTGTGATATGCTTCAGAAAGTATCTGAGTGTGAATTTGTTAATCTATTTGGTAATATAGATACTTTTTGTTCTTTTTGTTGTTTGTGTTCCATATTTTCATATTTAATTTTGAATTTTTACATTTTTACTACTGTTCATTTAAGTACAGTTTGTTCAATGGTTAAAAGGGGGTTGTCAGTGATGAAATTTAAAAACAGCCTCATTCACGTAAGTGCTTAAGTAAAAACTACATTTTGTGCTCTATGTTAAAAAAAAGAGAAAATCCTAAATAAAATTTTAGTAATGGAAAATAAATAAATAAGTATTTTAAAAAATGAAAAAAAAAATCATATTGCTACATCTGGAGCTAATTTTAGTGCATTGTGCATTGTTTTGTTTTAATTAATCTTTTTCACAATTTTAATCAAGTTATAACGGTCTTCACTTCATATGTTCTGTGATTTTGAACAACTACTGCATGTGGAAATGACTGAGTCTACTGATTTCTTGGAGTGTTTACTTTTCTAGAGTCATTGTTTTACTTTCTATTACTCTGCTTTGATTCGTATTGCTTTGTAGTGCATCCTAACATCTGAGTAGACCATGGTGATTTTCCCTTGAGTTTCTATTTCATAATCTATATACTTGTTTCTTTGGTTTTGCAAAATAAATTTAAGATTATTTTGCTAAACTATTTAAAAAATCTTTTTGAATACTTACATTAAATCTCTAAACATAGTGTCCAAATAATGGTTTCTCATCCAGGTTACATGAAACAAATTTCTAACCTTGATCTCCTGTATGGATAATGGACATAGTTACACTTGAGACCATAGTAAAACATCAGGAGTAAGCTGAAGAGAAGCCAAGAAGATGGCAAGAGAATAACAATACAGACACAGTTACTTTAAAAAGCTTGTGGAAAATGTAATTAAGATATAGGTTTATTTTGGTGCAAAAGATTTTGAAATCCAAGCATGTTAGGCATCTTCAAAAAGTTCATGAAAAACATGTATTATGAGAAAACCACATGATTCAGTTTCTTTGTACCAAAATATAAACTCACCTTATAATTCCATTATTTACTTTTCAAAGTATCCTCTTAGTATAATTAAGATATAGTGTCTGCAAATACTAGCTGATAGAATAAAGAAGGGAGAGAATGATCCAACATGGGAAGTGAGATACACAGCAGACCCATAGAATGGCAGATGTCCTAAACAGCACTCTGGCCTCAGAATCAGCCCTTAAGGCATGCGGATCCAGCTGAAATGCCCATGAGAGTATTTCAGGCATGGAAAGCCAAGACACTCTGGGGAAAAAAAAAAAACCCTAAATGAAAGATCTCTGTGAGTGAGATCCCAGTGGAAAGAAGGAGGTACCTTTCTGTGAAGGGAGGAGAGAACTTCCACTTTGACCATGGCCTTGTCTAAATATGATCAGAGTCAGTGAACTCAGGAGGCTTCCATAGCCTTGGCAGCTCATGATAAGGGCCTAGGGTGATTACTGATGACATAAACAAGAGTGTCAATATGTTAAGTCAACAACAGGAGTCACTGTGCACTTACTCCTCATGTAGGATCTTTGTCCTTAGTGTGCTGTACATTGAGATTTAATGCTATAACTAGTATTCAAACAGTTTTTTTCACTTTATGTTTCTGTGTGGCAGCAAACTGTTGAAATCTTTACTTAATGTATGCTAAACTGATCTTCTGTATATAAAGAGAATCAAAAATGAATCTTGATGTGAATGGAAGGGGAGAGGGAGTGGGGAAGGGGAGGGTTGCGGGTGGGAGGGACGTTATAGGGGGGAAGCCATTGTAATCCGTAAGCTGTACTTTGGAAATTTATATTCATTAAATAAAAGTTAAAAAAAAAAGATATATCTGTACACTCCAAGAAAACTGGACAATTCAACCCTATTGCCAGCTTATACTGTCCTCAGTTTTGAGGGAAAAGTACAGAATAATAATAAAGGACAGAGAGATGAGCACTTGGTGTTGCAGCCAGAAGCTGATCTTCTCTCATCAGTTTTTGTTACAGACCTCAGATCAGTCTTAGGAGGAACTCTATACCCGGTGTTTAAAATGCAGATTTAACCCCCAAACTGCCTGGGTTAGAATCAGTTCCTCTACTTATCTGCTGGGTCTCAAATTACTCAAAATCATAGTGCCTACCTCATAGGGTTTGTTATAACAATAAATTGTATGTGTAAATGACTTCAATAATGCTTGGCCAACAAATATGAGTTAAATATGAATTATGTTAGGGGGATTTTATGCTATTGCAACAGGTTTTAGTTTGGAGGTCACCTTGCCTATATTTCTTTCTCTTTCTTTCTTCTCCCCCTTCCCCATTGCAAATCTGAAAGTCCGTCCCTTACAGGTTTACATGGGCAACATGACCCCGTAGGGCCGTCTTCTCGTGCTCAGCCCGCATGGTTATCAAGGAAATGCTTCCGAGCTTTTGTACCTGACTTATTTATTGTTGCTCCCTGGCAGCCTTCCCTTGGCCTCCTGGCAAAAATACCTGGATTTCATTAAAATTCAATCTCTCGTGATACCATCTCTGGGGGATATTGGAAGGAACTGCTACCCGGAGCTTTAGCAATCTGATTAGCGACAGAGTTGGGCTGGAATGTTCTAAGTGCACTAAAATTACCAATTATAAAGTTTCTCTTCTCGTCTGTTTGCTTCCTTGTGTCCTTAGCTCCCTGTCCCTCCCCTGCCCATCTCACCCACTCCGGAAACTCAGCCAACAGTCCCAGGGCATCCTCAAGCTGGACACTGACACGAGTCTGTCTTCATGTTTCAGGTGCGCGTCCCCACTCCCGGGCCCTCTGTATGAATGACACCTTGGTCTGCCATGGAACCTGGCCCTGCCCTGGCCTGGCTCCTGCTGCTGAGCCTGTTGGCCGACTGTCTGAAAGCTGCTCAGTCCCGAGACTTCACGGTGAAAGACATCATCTACCTCCATCCTTCAAGTAAGACTGTTCTCTTTGCTGTGGAAATGTTGCTTTGCTTCAAATGAAAAGGAGGTTGGAAAAACAGCCAGGAGAAATCAGCCTTCAATGCCCAACAAATGTCCTGCGATTTAACTCAGGGGACGATCCTTAACCAAAGGCGCTTTCTGTTTTATCCTCACCTCTTCGCAGGATGTTTGGTTTTTATTTTCAGCCCAATTATTAGGCATGTTCTCTCTGTTCCCTACACAATCACTCTGATTCTGAATACTCATCCCTCTTACTCATGCCAGCCCTCAGTCAGTCATCAAAGTAAACCGCCTCGTCCCAGGAGGAGGATTGTTTGTAACTGATCAGTCCTTTATAGGTAAGATAATAGCTGGCCTTCCTCTCCTCACATTTAATTCTCAGTTTCAACGTAATTGCTTCCCACAACTTCCTATTCCCTGTGCTTTGGCTTCCTGTGTTTAAGAATTATCTAGGGAGTGCTTAATAGTGTAGAAGTCCACATCCCCGCCCTTGTGTTTCTGATTTGCCTCTATCTGGGGCTGTGGATTTCTGCTTTTAGCAGGAATTTCAGTACTGCTGCTGCTGCTTTCCTAAGGGCCCCATTTTGGGAACCTGTAGTTTGTCTTCCTCTTCTGGTCTCCATCTCTGTATTGATCTTGCTTCTCCTATTTCTGGGTGATTCGTCTGTATTGTTCCAGTGGTGGTGACAGTTGGGTATATTGTATGAATTCTGACCTTTACCTCTTGCCCCAAGGTACATTACTCTTTTGAAATGTTCCTTTTGAAATGTTGTTGAAACATCCACTGTGTGTCAAGCATTGCATTAAGCATGAATGGTATACAAGCAAACAAAACAGTCTTCGCTTTTGAGGATCATACAACCGACAAAGAGAGGCAGTCACAGCGACTTTTCCATCCTAGTGGTTGGAATATTTAGTGTCCTGATGTTCTGGCTTAAAGATGGTGGAGGGAACTCACTGGAGCTTGGAGCCTACCTGGCCCTGGGTCAGCAACCAGCTCAGCTGCTTTAAAGGCCTTTTGACTTGAAATAAATTTTCTAAATGTGTGATTAAGTAAAGTAATGCATATGAAGCATTTAGTACTAACAGTGAACTGCAGTAAATGCTCAATGTTAGAGGAATATTTGCATTTTTAATTTTAATTTTCTAATTTATGAAGGAGGGAGGGCGAGAACTCTCATTTGCTGGTTCACTCCTCAAATGCTTTCAGTGACCCCATGCTGGGCCAGGCTGAAATCAGGGACCCCATCTTGCGCTCCCATGAGGGTTGCAGTAACATGGGATGGCTGGGTGCAGGTTCTTGTCTCCTACACAAAAAAGGAATTCGAGGACAAGATGTGGGTAAATGTTATCAGAAGAACAGTATTTATTAGCATGCAAAGCGAAAAAATACTCGAAGATGAGCTACACCCAACAAGGTTCAGGGTCATCTCCTTACCTGCTCTGGAGGCATACGAGCTGGTTTATGGGGGTGAGAGCTAATTGAATATTCATGGTTGCAGAGTTTGGGGGCAGAGTTTGACAACCATTCTCATCCTTGTCCTTTTTTGGAAATCTTGTAAATGTCGTGGCATTAAGTACATGATGGGAATAGGAGTCATAGGGAATAGGAGTGTCAGCCAATTATAATTTTATTATAATGATGTTACAGTTAGCTGTAGGTCATCACTGGGACACATTTGGATCCCAGGTTGGTTATTTTGGCTGATACCATTTCTGAGTAGCAGTTTCCTGGCAGTTATGGTTTTCGACAACACAAAGGAGGTGAGGTTTGGAGAGAGCAGGTGAGACAGCAGGGAGGGGCTGGCAACCTCAAGTTCTTCTTGCTAGCTTCCTCCTTCCTATATCAGAAGGAGCTCAGTTACCTGAGCCATTACATGTTGCTTCCCAGGATCTGCATTTTCAGGAAGTCAGGAGCTGGAGCCAGGTATGGAACCCAGGCACTTATGTGGAATGTGGGTATCTTTTTTTTTTTTTTTTTTTTGACAGGCAGAATTAGACAGTGAGAGAGAGAGAGAGACAGAGAGAAAGGTCTTCCTTCCGATGGTTCACCCTCAAAATGGTCACTTAGGGTGGCGCTGTGCCGATCTGAAGCCAAGAGCCAGCTGTTTCCTCCATGTCTCCCATGCGGGCGCAGGGCCCAAGCACTTGGGCCATCCTCCACTGCCTTCCCCGGCCACAGCAGAGAGCAGGACTGGAAGAGGAGCAACCCGGGACTAGAACCTGGGGTGCTGGCGCCGCAGGCGAATGATTAGCCTAGTGAGCCATGGCACTGGCCTGAATGTGGCTATCTTAACCAGCATCTAAACCACTAACCCAAATCTGCCCCAAATATAATTTTGATGGACAGCAAAAAAATTTCTTCAAATTTACTGCTGCTGATTGTCTCATCAGTACAGTCTGCTGGATAACTGTATGGAAAACTTGTCTGACTGCTTGTTCTTATGAGACTTTTTATTTTAAGAATATCCAGGATACTTGCTGTGTTTTCTAGAATGCATTTGGTTCTTTTCTCCAAACAGCCATGGTTTTTAATTAGACTTAGTGAAACAAAAACCTACATTTCAGTCTCTCAGGGTTGATTGCCAAGATTTTTGGCTCCTGTAGGGTTCTTTGTGAGCTTTGGTGAGAGACTTGGTAGTAACTGTGCTGTGTGATTGCACATCTTGGGTGGGAAGGAGAATTGAGGCCATTGGATTTAAGTGAACCAAAACAAAACAGCACTTCGACCTCATTGGTGTGGTGGGTCTTTGCCTGAGTTTAGTAGGCCCCTATTTGGAAATTTGATTTCAGAATGGGGTTTTTGAAGGATGAGCTCTGCTAGGCCAGAGTGAGAATCACTTCTGCTCTTTAGAAGTTGATGTCAAAGTTCTGCATGTGTGACCTGTGTTAACTAAACAAAGATACACCAGAAAGATGGAATTGAAAATGAGTTTATATCATTGCAAAAATTTTTTTAAGTCCATGAGAAGTTTTTATGTTACATTTTTTCCATGAAGTTTCTAAAGACCCTTTTTAGATCCATGGCCTGACTGGAGGGAACTCACCATTTATGAAGGATTACATTAGTAGGATTTTCTGTTATGATTTTGAAATACATAGAAGAATAAAAGAAGTTGTGCCTAAACTATAATGATAAGTAGATGATTGCTGTACTTGAGCAAGTTTGCAAGTTGTTTTTTTAAAGATTTATTTCATTTTATTTGGAAGTTACACACAGAGAGAAAAAGACAGAGGAAGGGAGAGACGGAAGGAGAGAGAGAGAGAGAGAGAGATCTTCTATCTGCTGGTTCCCCTCCCAACTGGCTGTAACAGATGAAGCTGAGTCAGGCTGAAACTAGGAGCCAGCAGCTTCTTCCAGGCCTCCCACAGGGGTGGCAGGGCCCCAAATGCTTGGGCCATCTTCCACTGGGTTTTTTAAACTATTAACATGGAGCTGGAACAGGAGTGAAGCAGTCAGGTAACAAACTGGCACCTGTATGGGATGGTGGTGTTTCAGGTGATGACTTACAGCTCCGGCCCCCAAGTCTGCAAGTTCTAATCTTCAGGGTCACTATCACAGATCATAGAAAGGATAAATTCTTATCAGATTGAAGTTCCCATGATTGTCTCCTACTTGTTCAAAACTTTGTTCTGCCACTTTAAATCAGAGTTAGCTCCCCACTTCACTCAGCTTTTTAAAAGTTTGAGGTGTGTGTTTGTTCTTTGTTACACTTTGTTTAAATGGCATGGTCTGTGCCCTTGGGCACTAGACTATGTTTAGATGGAGTGATTTCCCTGCAAAGAAGCAGGTTTCTGTTGAACATAGACCATAAAAAATATATAAGGGAAGTGTAGGATTAGTTTGATGTTGAATTATTTATATAATCACCTCGCTTTGTAGATGGAGGCACAGACAGCTTTCCTTGGGTCAGCGCATGAGCCAGATTCCATTAATGTTACATAGAGAAGCTCGGAACCTGCTCAAGGAGAAATGTGGTGATGCTGGAAGTGCGGGAAGACACACAAGTTTTCTACCCCAGACAAACATAAACTCATTTCTCGTGGTTCTGGAACAGCCATCGTTGATGATATTTGGGGTGAGATTAGAACCCAGATTGAGAAGATTCAGCCTCCCATGACCAATCTCCTCTGCCCTCTTGTACACTAGTCTTTACCTTTAAAGGAAATATGCTTTATGGCTTTCAAACATGAAGCACCATCCTCAGTAACATTCTCTTCTGTAATTTATAGGTGCTTTTTCTCAGTTTTTTCAGCTGAAAAATGATAAATTTCTTCCCAATCTGTGACTAAAGCACTGACTTCGAGTATAAACCTTCAAAACAAAGAGTTATTATTAAGAGAAACGGAGCGCCTTATTTAGCTGTCAGACGGCACATGAGATAGTAGAATGTAGCAAACTAAGGGTTGCAAACTGCTTTTGGCCTTGGTAATTTCCAAAAGAATAAAAACCTGTCTTAAAAGCATACAGTTTCTCTGTTTGCATGTTTTGAGTGTTTTCATAATCATGTGCACCCAAGAGCTAAACCCCTGCAGGAGGCTCGGCTTAGTCATGCTCAGGTAGAGAGCCAACCGAGTTTATTCCCAATTCTATACCACCTAAGTCTTAGGGAGTAAATGGAGTTTCTACACAGGTATTAGGAATGATTAAAATTGATTTATAATATTTTTTGCCAAATGGACTGGTAAATCAACTTATTAGATTTCTAGAATTTTTATATTTGCATATAATTTCCAGAAGCAATAGAAATTAATTTGGCAAGAATAGAAAAAAAATGTTTGATGCATTACACATCTGCATTCATTTCAAAGCAAGCCTGTTCTCACCACATTTTCGAAACTAAAGGCCTTTGTGCAAGCAAAAGTTCCAAGACATGGAAACAAAGACTAAATCTTTTCTGGTACCTTGCTAATGAATTATGGTAGGCTGAACTATGGCAGATCATGAGAGTTAATGGACAGATTATTTTACAGGAAGTAACTGGGCACTTTTTTTTTCTTTATAATCACCTTGTCTTGAGGGACCAAGGACTTACGCCCTGAAATACAGAGTACTAAGCTTATTAACTCTGTGATCAAGAGCCAAATTAGATTCATTCACAGCTGGGGCCACACGATGCGAAACTCTGCTTGCTCTGCAGTGCTTTGAAGTAACAAAGAAAATAGCACATCTCTTAGAAAACTGTGCTCTTAAAAAAATAAAAAAGGTCTCTTTATCAGATGCAGTATCAATTAGCAAGTTAGTGGAGATCGTTTTTCATTTGTAGACTTTATGTTTGGCTAAATATTTCCAGAGGGAAGAATTTAACCTTTTACTTAGTATTATGCTGTAATTAGCCACTTAAAGCTGAGTGTGTTTGCAGAGATTTATCACTAAACAGAATTTGATTATTCACTGACCAGTATTACCTCCTATGTGGTCATAACAATTCCTATAAGCAAATATTAACCTGTAGTAATTGAGAATGTACACAGATATGCAGCTCCAGATTTTAAAATAAAGCTCACCCAAATGAGATCATTTGGGTAATTGCCAATGATATCTGCTGACAACCTCATTCAGAAATAAATGATTAGTGTATTAGCTTGTACTTATATTTAAGTTTTGATATGAGCACTTTGGGTTAATTTCAGAGTCCAAGCTTACTTATGTAAGAAATGACAGAATTAAATTTAGTATGTCACTATTCTTGCACAGATCATTTTGAAAAGTCTATTAAATAATCCAAGTTTGGGAACACTGTAGCTTATTAGTATTAGGCTCTCAGTTTGTTCTCAGAGCAGTTGGATCGTCAATCTTCATTCAAAGTTCTTAATTTATCTCTTTGATGGGAAAGTTTCCAGGAATAACTAATCCAACATTCCAGCCAAATTTTTTACTGGCTGCAGTGACAGATAAAACTGGATGCTCTAGTGAATTAATCATACAAACTGAAGTGGTACAGCTAGCTTGCAGTCATAAACCTTGGTGAATGTGATGACCATTCCTTTAAAAAATGCTGTGCTTTGACAAATCCTTTTTTTCAAAACTCTTACTTTGATCATTGGCCTTCAGATTTTACCAGCTATTTTTTCAAGTGTTATCTTTTAAAATTATTTATATGGTAAATATTTTAAAGATAACAGGGAAACTCTTTTTTAATGTACACAATCAATATAATTTCTTGAAATACTTTGAAAGATTTTTTCATGATGGTATTTATAAAAATAAGCTATGTAAAATCTCTAAAAGTATTAAAATGTGTTTGGAAATTAAGAAGTCCCTTGCAGTAAATTCCTCAAATGCATACTTACCTAAATATTATCTTTTCAACTCTACTGTTACCCACTTTTTAAAATGATGGGATGTGGAAACACATGAAACTACTTCATAAAATTTGGTGGAAAGATTGAACAAAAAGATAAATTTATTTTGTTGCATAAAACTGAAATCCATGCACACTTTTTTTCCACAATACACATTTTCCATTAACTTTTGAAAGCCAATTGTATGCATGGATTTCAATTTTTTTTTGCGCCAAATAAACGTATCTTTTTATTCAATTTTATACAAGCTTTTTGAAGTGCCCCAATAAAAATTATCTGTTTGTAGTTTCACAAAAGACTTCTGCTTCATTATAATTATATGGCAGAAAAGCATTTCTTCAGAGTAAAATTGCTTCATAGGAATGAGATGGTTGGATGCCTATGTCTCAGCTGTTTCCCATCATTTTCTAAGATGATCTATGCATTTGCTCTCATTCTTGTTATGAATGTTGAGTCACCAGCTATTTGGAAGGATGTAGAACTCTCAAAGGGACCCACAAAAAGTCCAGTTTCTCATCTTTTTTAGACAATTTATGACTTTTGATCATGTTAGATTATTGTATTTTGTCACAGGGAGCTATGTGAAATATTGCAAGCAAGTACATGGATGGACAGCTATTCTAGGCAAGGTGAAAATCAAAGTTATATCTGGCCCATAATTCTGGCCTTAAGCTGCTGCCTCCTCCTTCATTTATTTTTGATAACATACTTAATTGGTTCCATGTGGGCAAAGCAATTTACCCAGAGATGATTATTTCCGCCAGTGGGATAATGCAGGCTCAGCCATCTGCAAGGAGAGCAGTTGGCTTCTGCAGATGAAATGTTTGAGTGTCTGCAGCTTTCATATAGGCCAGGTAATTTTACAAATTAAAAAAAGCACAAGTTTGTGTACGGAAGGCAGAACTCTAAATAGCAAACAAAGCAAATGATTTGAGCAAAGAAGCAATTAAAAGCACATTGGTGAAAAGGACAGAGAACAGCCTGGCCTTGACGTTCCTGTTGATCTTCATCCATATACTGACAAAAAGTACTGGGTATGCTGGGTACTGTTCAGAGCATGACTTGCATGTGGCATCTTCACACCTAAGCAAAGAATCCAAGAATATGGTAGACAGTGTCTTGAGTGGGCAGGGGAAGGCAGGAGCAGAAGGGAGTGTCTTTTTGGAGTTCTGTGCCTCCCACTTCTCATCCTCTCTCCCAACATTCCCCCTACACACATGCAGACATGCACACACACACACACACACACATACACACACTGCTATCGCTAACCCCTGACAAAAATTTTTGTTATTTCAAAAATGTTATGTAGATGATACCAAATAGTAGATAACCTTGTGGGTTTGGCTTTTTTCTCTCAAAATTATTCCCTGGAAATTCATCTGAATTGTAGAATATGTTGGTAGTTCATTACTTTCTGTTGCTGACTAGAATTCCATAGCATGGCTATGCCACTGTGTAACCACTCACCCATTAAGGCCATCTGGGTGGTTTTCAGATCTGGGCCATTAGAACTAAAGTTGCTGTGGACATTTGTGTACAGACTTTTGAGTGAAGCAGGTATTTATCTCTTAGGGGATAAATGACCAAGATGAAATTACTGGGTTATATGACAGTTGAATGTTTAGAGTTTTTTTTTTTTTTCTAAGAAACTGACAAGCTCTACTGAGAAGACTTTATTAAACCTGAAAACATGTAACTTTATAGGCTTCTGTGTTCAGTCTAAAAAAGTCTTTCCTCTTGATCCCTTTTGTAGCCACACCATATCCTGGTGGATTTAAATGTTTCACCTGTGAAAAGGCGGCAGATAATTATGAATGCAACCGATGGGCTCCAGACATCTACTGCCCTCGAGGTAAGCTCTCACACAGATTGGGGTCCTGGAGCTGTCCATGAGGAAACAGCCAATGGACTTTGGTGCATGCTTGCAATCTTTACTGCTCTTCTTCTCTAATGCTACTAGTAGAATTTTTTTTTTATCACACCCATATATTATCATCAAAGATTCTCAGAGGCATAAACTGACACATTGGGTTGTCTCTTTTCTCACCAAGTGTCTTTGGAGCTCTTTATCACCAAGTATCTTTAGGAGGTAAGTGCTACTTCCTCCTAGGCAAAGCCAAATGTAGATCAGAAAGAGAAAGGCAGCCTGTTTACCATGCTTTGAACTGTTAGTCTTTACATAGTAGCCTCTTTCATGTAAAGTATGAATGACTACTCATATAAAGATTCCACTTATTGCATATCTTGCTGGAGACTTCTATCCCGGGACTGCTTGAAAGCTGGAATTCTAAATGTCGTCATTGCACAAATGAAGACCCTGAACTTTTTAAACTATTAAGTTCTCTTTGAAGGATGAGATAAAAGCACAATTGAAGCAACAAATTTTGACCCAAAGGTCCATTTCAAAATGAAGAACCATCATATTCACATCTCTTTTATTCTATCAAGTAAAAAAGATGGTTAATTTTAGCTATGGAGTCACTGTTATTTTGGTAGTCACTGTTATTTTGGTAGAAAGTTGATTTGTTTGCTGGGACAGACAGGCCACTTTACTGACAAATGTTTGAGTGAGTGGTCAGTGTGCCTTGCCACTATCTAGTTCAGTTGTTCAAATGACTGACCATGGCCGGCGCCACGGCTCAATAGGCTAATCCTTCGCCTTGTGGCGCTGGCACACTGGGTTCTAGTCCTGGTTGGGGCACCGGATTCTGTCCCGCTTGCCCCTCTTCCAGGCCAGCTCTCTGCTATGGCCAGGGAGTGCAGTGGAGGATGGCCCAAGTGCTTGGGCCCTGCACCCGCATGGGAGACCAGGATAAGCACCTGGCTCCTGGCTTTGGATCAGCGTGGTGCACCAGCTGCAGCGCACTGGCCGTGGCGGCCATTGGAGGGTGAACCAACGGCAAAGGAAGACCTTTCTGTCTCTCTCAAATGACTGACCACACCAACACCTGCCTTAGTATTTTCAGTTACCCAAGGTGATTGTAATGAACCCTCAGAGGTAAGAAACACTAGGGTCTCCTCTACCCACTAATAGAGAAGTGTGGTATTGGGAAATTTATCTCTTTACTTCTAATTGACACCTGTTACTGCCTCACATGGCAGCAGCTATAAGGGCAAAAGAAGAGGGCGGGAGGAACAGAAGAGAATGAACCCACTCCTTCCGTCCTTTCAGTAAGGGCCCTAGTCCCATTCATGAGATATCTGGCTTCATAACTACATCACCTCATAAAGGTCCCACCTCTTAATACCACCACATTGGTGACCACATTTCAACATATACATTTGGAGAGGTGGTGCATGTTCATTCCGTAACAGTGACTACTCTTCCTTCAGTATTGACTTAGCTCTGAGGTGTGTTAGCAAAGATGATGCCAAGGAAAGGAGGGTATGTGAACCGGGACTCCCTACAGGCTATGGTCCACATTCCGTAGAGGCCCAGTCCAAATCTGATGATAAAAGGACTTTTCTATTTTTTTTTTTTTTTGACAGGCAGAGTGGACAGTGAGAGAGAGAGAGACAGAGAGAAAGGTCTTCCTTTGCCGTTGGTTCACCCTCCAATGTCCGCCGCGGCCGGCGCGCTGCAGCCAGTGCACCGCGCTGATCCGATGGCAGGAGCCAGGAGCCAGGAGCCAGGTGCTTTTCCTGGTCTCCCATGGGGTGCAGGGCCCAAGCACTTGGCCATCTTCCACTGCACTCCCTGGCACAGCAGAGAGCTG